CTAATCATCATCCATCCATCCATCCATCCATCCATCCATCCATCCATCCATCCATCCATCCATCCATCCACTGTAAGGATTTTTTAAAAAACAACAAATGATTCTTTTAAAAGTGAGATTTAGTTTATATCAGAAGACCATGTAGATGTCATAGAGAATGGTTACCAGGGAAATGTCAAGGAAGCATGGCTTAATCCCTTTCCAAGAAACTTGAGAAAACAACTCAGACCAGTCTCTAATTCTCATGAAGCTAAAGAGAGCGAGGAAGAAGGGAGGACATTCAGACTTGTATGATTCTGTTAGTATAGCAGTTTCAATACAATTAGCCTTGAAGTGTATATCAATGTTTTTTTTAACTTGATTTAACCTATAGGACTCAACCCAATTTAATGTATTTTTACTGGATTGGATTTTATTTCCATTCTTTGAGTCTAGAATTTGTGCAGTATTTTTTCCACTATTTTGTTTCTTTGTTGTGAACTCTAAGGTATTTGGCTCTTGTCCTCCAGTAAAATCAGCTTCTGAAAATATGTCTCTCAGCTCAACCTACCTCTTGGAGTAATTGTGGAGAAAAATGCAAGGGAGTGCTATATATGCAGCCTTGAACCTCTAAATGAAATATAGAAGATTCTTACATAAATAATATGGTAAAATCACAATTGATTAAATAACTCCCATGGATAGGTATATGCCCTTAATATGGTAAATGAAAGTTTGCAAGCAAAATAAAGCTTCATAAAGCAATTTGTCCAGTTCAATAGAAATTTGTATAGTAATCTTATAAAGTGTAACTTTTCTACTTGGGGACAAAATATGATAAAATTAATAGTAGTATTTTTTTATGTGTGGCACCCTCATGACAAATTTAGACAAAGTGGGATAAATTTCCTAATGACATTAAAATAATAAAAGAAAATAAATAAAAGTGATATTTGTACAGAATTATAGTATTTTTTATTAAGATGGTTCAAATATTGGGAGGGAAGATCTGTTAAGAGAGAGGTTTAATATATTCAATTTTTAAAAAAAGATAAAAGAAAAACACCTTCAAGCTTTACTCAGCTTCTGTTCACTTCATCCATGAAGTTCTTTTACTATCATTATGGAAGTGGAACACCAATGCTTTCTTCCATTTTTTTAAATGACTTCCCAGTGTAGTTAATGCTGTTGGATTTTCAGGCAGGCCAGGATCTGAGTACTAATTACTTAGTCTCTGAGATAAGAAGCTATTGTGTAGCTCAGGGGTGTCAAACTGCCGGCCCATGAGCCAGATGCATCATAGCAAAACCACACTCACCTCATTTCCGGCAATGGCAAAAAAGTCGCAATATGTCGCAACACGTCACGTGACATTGCAAGTTTGACACCCCTGATGTAGCTGCTAGTTAATGGACCTTAGAAAGGATGCAACTATTCAAGATATGTGACTGGTAACAATGAGCTACATATAGCAAACCATATTCCAGTCTGAAAACTTTTCTACCCCTTTGAGGGCAGGCTTATCAGTCAAAAAATTAAGTTTCCCTTTATCACCATAATGAATGGCATGATACTTTCTTTGACACACTTGCAGTTAGTTCAAGAGATCAGGTTCAAGACCAGGAGCACAGTACAGCAACACAAAGTCAGAATAGGACAAATTCAAGCCTGTCTATTATGACTGAGGAATCCAGGTTAGCCAAACATGATATACACACACAGGTATTTATTATCCTCTGCTCTGCCCCATATAGACGGATTCACTATGGTCTTAATCAAGTGCCAAATTAAAATCAGTATACCTGAATATTAACAACATTACCTGGATTTTATCTGAGGCAGAAATATCGTTCATCCACACATGCTTAAATATGGCCTCAGAAACAATTTGAAGCAATCTACAAGTTTGCAGAGAAGGCTGCCTACAATAAGTGGCAGAAGTTTGCCAACTTAATTATTTAAGCATGGTTGGGGCACATTAATATTTAGGTGAGAGATCACAATCTATCGTAGATCTGTTGGGTAGCCTGGAAAGTAAAAAAAAAGTCCAAGACAGCAATGGCAAATCATCATTTTTCCTATTCAAAATGATTGCACACACCTTAAATCTATATTGTATTGTTGCTAATAAAATCACATGGGCTTGCCACTAAAGCCACTAGCAGTGGTTTACATATCTTTGATTTACATATTTTTCAAGTTTCAAGAGTGCTAGAATCATATTAAGATTCAATCAAATTTGAGTATATTCAAGTTTAAACGGCTCAAAGAAAAGTATAGTCTTCTTCATTCTGGATAGAAGAAAAATGATGGAGATAAATTAGAAAGAATAGAATAGAATAGAATAGAATAGAATAGAATAGAATAGAATAGAATAGAATAGAATAGAATAGAATAGAATAGAATATGTTTGAAAACCTCTGGTCTAGAAGGCTAGGCGATCCTTCCTTTGATATAGACTTTAAGAAGACTCTAAATCACAGGGGTCAAATTTGTGACATCACGTGATGTGTTGCAAGTTTTTCCCCATTGCCGGCAATGGGTGAGTGTGGTTTTAGCATGATGCATCCAGCCTGCAGGCTGGCAGTTTGACACCCCTGCACTAAGTTCACATTAGAAGAATCCTGATGTCATAACTTCAGTATATGTTTGGCTAGGACTTGAAATTTATAATTGATGCTAACATATCACATGACAGAAACTACACCATAATATATAATCCCTGACT